CGGCATCAGCCGGGATTGCTTCCCTGCCGGCCCCGGTGGTGCTGGAAGGAGGTGGGAGCCGGTTGCCGGCCCTGGGGGCTGCTGCTGGGATGCTGGCAGCCCCTGCGGGAAGGAGGTGATGTGGGACGCCGGCTATCACCCGTGCCTTTGTGCTCCAGGCTGCAGTGGGTTCTCCAGGAGCACACGGTAAACATCACAGCCGGTGGGCTTGTGCTTCCCCGTCCTGGAGAAGAGCAAAACCCTGCGGGGTCAGGGCACTCGGGGGTGCTGCTCATGTCGGAGGGGGGAGCAGCAGCACTCAGCAGCCACCCGTTTCTCCTCCCCTGCTTGGCAGTAGCAGGTCACCATGTGCCCCCATCCCCTTTGGGTAGAGGACAAAGGACCAGGGGCATTTCTGCAGGAGGTGCAGGGAGTGGGAGGGATGGGGAGGCCAGAGAGGGCAGCACCCACAGCCATAGCCCGGGGGAGTGCAGGGGCACTCGGGGAGGGGGGTCCCTGCCCCAAATGGCACCGTGCCCAGCAGGGGGGCTGCGAGGCTGGGGCAGGGCAGGGAGGGCAGTGCGGGGGAAGTGTGGCCTCAGGGGAACTGGGGCTTCTGGCTCGGTAGAGCTTGTTTGCTTTTGCCTCCTGTTGCACACCTAGAACAAAAGTTCAGAGGTTGGCTCGGGTCTGCTGCTGTGCCAGACTGCTGGAGGAAAGGCAGTGCTGCTGCCAGCTGGGGCAATGCTGCCAGCCACTGCCCGAGCCATTGCTCCCTGTCTCTGGGACAAGCCCAGCCAGCAGCAGTATGTGGTCCCCACTGGTGTTTTCACACTTCCTGTGCTCACCACTGCCCTGCAGCCTGGCACAAAGTCTCTGCAGCCCCCGGCTTGTGGCTGGGACAGCCAGGGAGGGTGGTGGCAGTGGCAGCACGGTGGCCAGAGGCTGGAAGTGTTGACATTGCTGTCCTCCTGCTCCCAGACTCCTGCCAAACATCTGCAGCAGGCCAGGGGCCAGCCCCAGCCCGGCTCTGGTGGAAAAACAAGGGAGGAGGGAGGTTCGTGTGAGGGTCAGCCTGCCCCCTCTGCCTGCCATTTGGGGTGGGGGACCACAATGGATGGAGCTGCACACTGTCCTCAAAGGGTCTTGCTGGGGCACCCTCTGTGCAGCATGGCAGGGACACTGGGTGATGTGCCCAAGGTCCAATGAAAGCTCAGTGGCAGAGATAGGACCCATTGACTGTGGCTAATTAAATCCTTGCCCATTCCCTACCTCTATCGAGGCTGATTCAGTGCCAAGAGACCCGAGGAAAAGGAACTTGGAGAAATGGGTCCCTTATTTTTATTTTGGTTCTAGGAAAACACAGCTCGGGAGTGGCTCAGGCTTTCCCTCTGCATGCCAGAGATTAGGACACGTGGAAGGGACACAACAATGCTGGGCTACCACTGCACAGCTGCACTGCTTCTCCCAGCCCCCAAGTCCCTTTTAACAACAGGAAAGCCACCAAAGCCCCACGCAGGCGATTAGGGAATATAATTAGAAGTGAGTGGCTGTTCCCATGTGGGAACTAGTGGGACAAGGAATGCAGCCCTGAGAAGTTCCCCTGCTTTGTCCTGGCTCTGTCCCAGGAGGAGGCTCAAGCCCTGGCCAGGGTCAGCAGCATGAGCTGGCTGGGGAGCACAGCTCTGGCACTGTGCTGGGCACACACCAGACCCTCTGGCTGCAGGATGCAGTGAGGTGCAAGCAGCCCCTCAGGCAGGAACTGCAGCCTTATGGCCCCGTGGCCCCAAGTCTCCCCTGAGCCCATGATGTGGGTGGGGAGGGTCAAGCCCCTGACTTTGGCTCCCATGATCTCCCCAGTTTTGGCAAGGAGCCACCTTGCACTGCCCACGACCACGTCTGTGAGGGGTGACCAGAGCATCCCTGCAGTTAGCCCGGCTGTTGGCACCTTGTGCTGTGCTCTGGGCAGTCCCCGGGCAGCAGCTGAACATCATGGGGGTTTGCCTGGACCTGGGAGTGCACCCCACGCTACTCAGGGACCCGTGCCAGGGCAGGACCAAGCCATTTCCCCAGCAGCAGTGCAGGTTTTAAAGCTTTGGGGAAATGCTGCCTGTGAGAGAGGGACTCTCAGCTTCCTTGCTCTGTGGGCTCCCTGACCCCCAGTCCTTCCATGCCAGCTAAGGCTGCACTCGGAGCCTTTCCCAGTACATGGTGTTCCTGCTGGTGAAGGATACAGGATGAGAGATTGCTCCCAAGTCCCTGGTCCAACTCCCCTTCCCCTGCAGAGGTGACAGTGTCAGCAGTGACAGGGACTTGGCAGGGCTGCCCCTGCTTTCTAGCAAAGCCAAACCCCATGCTGGCACTTGACAATCCCATGGGGCTCACCCATTGCCACCCCGTGTCCTGCCCTCCATCCCAGGCCAGCCCCCACTCTGACCACAACCCCTCCAGAGCCCGATTAACCCTCCCCTCAAATAATTTTTGTTTTGCAGGATTTCAGGGAATTTACACCTCACCACGGATATTTCCCTTGGAGCCAAGCCCAGGGTAAATGTTTGCATTCCCCAGGCATGCAAACAGCGCCCTGGAAACTCCTGCCCCCGGGGACACCAGGGGCTAAGGGATGGTTGTGCTCTGCCCTTGGCCCAAGTGGGGTCACCATGGGGCTGTGACCCTCCCAGTCCCTCACAGCCCGCCCCCTGGGAGGCTTCTAGGAGCACCCTAATTTGCTGTTCCGAAGGAGAGAAGCTCGGTTAACCCTTCCCCACCCCTGAGCAGCACAGCCAGAGGAGAGAAGGACACCGGCCCCCCAGCCCGGCCACCCCGGGGAAGCTGAGGGGTCCCTGCTCGGGTGGGGAAGGGGAGGAGGGGCAATGTCACTTCCTCCAGATGCCCCGCGCAGGATGGGGACATCACCTGGCACCTCTCCCACCCGTGCGGGTTTTAAATCCTCAGCTCCGTGGCTCGTTTGCCGCGTTGCATAAAACCTCCCTGCGCACACGCGGCTGCCCCGCGTGTCTGCGGCGTGTCCGTGTCCCTGCCCCCCCGGGCTCGGCGCTGCCACCCCCCTCCCGGGGCCCACACGGTTAATGCACCCTGGGCCCGTCCCTTCCTGCGGCGATTGGCTCCCCCCGCGCAGCCCCGCAGCTATTTCTCGGCCGTCGGGCCGGGCGGGGGCGGGAGG